TGGTTTACTTTCTGATGTGATAGAGGGATTATCTTTTATTTTTTATTAAGGACAAAATCGCGCCATCACCTTTGTCGTCGATGGGCTCAAGAACATTGATGTGTTAAACGAAATCTTCAAAAAGATTGGTGTTTTTTCTGGCTATGCTCATGATTTCATCATGGGAAGTATGGGACTTCGGGACTTCATAGATGAGATAATATATGTAGCCCGCGAGCCATTCACTAAATCGCTATGGGAGTTCATATTTGAGGAACTGAAAACCAAAGCCGACTATGCAGATGACCCTGAAACGGCCAAGAGGATTTCCACTGCCAGGGGTGATTGGGTTATAGTGGATAGCGACACGAAAGTCGACTGCAGCACGCTGATGCCGTTTATAACTGATGTTCCATGCGACGAAAGCATTCTATTGTGGCACATTGCTACTGATCTCTGCTACTATGGCTGGACGAGAAAAGTATCGGTCATCGAGAATTTAGTAAGCTTCTCTCGGACTACATGTTGTATCTCTTAATTTGGCGGCCAACGATGATGTCTGCTGTAGGAGGCATTGGCAAAATGAGATTCAGGGACACTTGCGCCGAGGCTGAACGATTCTTTGAAGGCAAGGTTTTACCATCACGGGCGGAAAACATGAAAAGGAGAGGAACCGTTGAAACCAAGGCCTGTGAGGCGATTCTTTCGGTGACGACAGATGTTAAACATGAGGAAGTGAAGGGAGATAGAAGTAAATCCGCACTGTTCGATGCCAGCATGTTTGCTCAAGAACTAAACAAGCTGGAGGAGGAAGGATTGGATAAATGGAAACTGATGGCCAGGGTGTGGGTGGAATCGGTGTCGTATGCTGGGAGTCACTGCCGAGCAAACACGCACGCTCAGCAGGTCAGCAAAGGTGGGGAGCTCATTACTTTATTTGGTTGCAGAGGGCTTACTTTGGCCTTGGGGAGCAGTTCCAAATCAATGAGGGACATGCAAGGGCTAAATTGATTGTCGGGAAATAGACCACTACTTTCCCTCCAGATTTCATCATTTTCTTTCTTTACATGTGCTTTTGCGTTTGTATTTCTGCTCATTTCCAAGTTAGCTGTGGAGAAATGTAATGTGTAATACTGTGCCAAATCATAGATTATGGTGTTTTCTTCAAATGCTCTGTTACTTTGTATACGGCTCAAATTACCTCCCAAAACGAAGAAGAAGAAATTAGATAATGCAAATTAACAATACGTTAGATATTAGAGTTTGATCTGAATTCCATCTAACACAAACTAATAAAGACATAAGATTAATATATAATTATACAAAGTAATTTAACTTAATTTGAAGTACCAAGCTTTTTTCCTTTTACGTTGATTAGATTTGTGTTAGAAGGTGAACTTGAACGTATAAAATTTAAAGGGGAATAACGAACTTAAACTTATAAGATTTTAGGGGAACGGAAATAAATTTTCAGTTGAAAATACATAAATAAAATTTAAAATATATAATAATTTTAAATTTTTAGAACGACACAAGGTCCATCCATGATTATCCCTATAAATAAATTTCAAATACTTATTTATGAAATTCCTATTTCATTCTTCTTTTTTCTTCATTACTAGATACTTTTCTCTTGTGTTCGTAATTTTTTAAATAAAGTTTTTCATGTAAAATATTAATATTTTTTTATGTTAGTTAATTTTTCTTTCTATAAAAATAAATAAGATCTAATTATATTAAATCTTATCTCTTTAATATAAAATTTTTTATGTAGACTTTAATTATTTTTCCAATCTGAAAAGCCTTAATATCAAACATAAGTCTCATTGTAATACGTAAAACAGGAACCATTTGCAATTTTCCAAGCAATAGTTGGGTGTCTGATGTCCCACTGTAATACGACACGGAGACCACCCACGGTCCAACATAAATATATACGACACGTTGTAATTAATAAAAAATTGAAGACTCTGCAATTTTGCAAGCAAGAGTTAGATAAAAGATGGTACTGTATGATTTATTTTTGATCTACCCCGTCAGGTAGCTATTAATACAACCAAACAGAACCACCACGGTCCAACCCATGCATGTTGGACTTTCTTTATTAAAAAATGTTCTTTTAATTGAAGATGAAGTTTAAAAACGAAACCATAGGTCCACTTGTGCTGAAGATTCAACAAGGTTATATTATAAGTGAATTAATTAATCTGGTCATGTGCCCATCACCAACTGTTGTGGATGTGGAGATGACATGCGCTGCTTGTTTATATCTGCAACTCAAAAGTAATATTCAAATGGTCGGAATTTGATCGTAAAATACTTAAAAAGGAGAAAAATGATTGTGAAATTTAGATCCTAAGCATTTGATATATATTTAATAAATATACATTAAATTATTTTAGAAACAAAAATATAATATTTATAAAAATAATAATTTCAAATAACAAATATATATAAAACGTTAAAACAGATATAAATATTAAATTAATTAAAAGAACATATGTATATGTGATAGATAATTAAGGGTGCGTTTGGTTGGAGGAATGTGAGATTTTCATGGAAATGAAATCCACATTCCCCGTTTGGTTGATTGGGAATGTCATTCCCGGTAATCTTATATTACCAATAGTGAATTTTTTGAGGTATATTACCGGGAATGTCATTACCTCTATTTCCTTAGGTATTGTTGGATTACCGGCGTTTTGGACTAAAATGCCCTTAAAAAAATTTATTTAAAAAAATATCCTTATTATGTGATTGAATAATAAAAATTCTAAATACCATCCAGCTCAGTTGGTAGAGCACAATGTTCTTAACCTTGGGGTCGTGGAATCGAGTCGCACGGAAGGTATTTTATATTTCAGAGGTCTTCTACGGAAGCTGCTCTCAACCTGGTGTTGGGGGCAGCCTACTATTCTACCTCCTCCTTACCCCATTACATATGGAAATAAGGGTCAGGTAATTTTGAATAATAAAAATTCTACGAAGGTTGAATTACAAATTTATCCTTATATTATTTTAGATTTACAAAAAAAAATCTATAATTAAAATTTTATATGAAGTTCATGTGTTAAAATAAAATTTTATCATTTCATTAAACCTTTTTATATTTTCAATTTTGTAAAAAAAATTATATAAATTTTATGAATTTAAATTTTTTAAAGAAAATATATAAATATTTTCTAATTTGTTAAAATAATAAATATATAAAAAAAAAAGGACAATTTGGTCAAATATACATTCCAATAATCTTTTATTCCTTTAACCAAACACATTAATTTTACATTCCTGCTAAACCAACCAAACATAAAATACAACATTCTCAGTAATCTTATTCTCTGGTAATCTTTTATTACCACCGATAATATTACATTTCGTAAACCAAACGAAAAGGTTTTTACCCTCCTACTTTCATAATATATATATATATATATATATATATATATATATATATATATATATATATATATATATCTACTTTTATGTTTTTTGTTGCAATAATTGACTTAAAGGGCATTGACCATTGACTTGATTTGGGAATCTCCCCGACCAACCATTGTATACCTTTAAAATTTAGGGTAAGTTACACGAATCATCACTTTACTTTTCTCTATTTCCTATTTTAGTCTATTTCATCACTAAACTTAATATAATTGACAAATTTGGTCACTCGACCATTTCCCCACTAAAGGTTGTTTCCAGTACTCCCACCAATGTTGTCTCAAGCCCACTTGCACGATGATAGAGCGATGGTGATGGGACATTACCACCTAGGTTTCGGTCGAAACTAGGCAAAGAACTTAGTGGTGAAAGGGGTGAGGTGCAATGGTGATGGAATCGGTCGGAAATCACAAAAATCTGCAGCAACGTTGAGCGACATTCTCACAATTTACGACGTTTTAACAATCGATTTTGGGCAGGTGGTGGTTGGGTTTTACTCAGGAGATGACACCGGGACTGTTGCTGGAGACGATGGATTGAAAGGGAAATGGGTTTTTGGAAAAGACCGTTAGTGGGGAAACGACCGAGTGACCAAATTTGTCAATTATTCAGTGATGAAATTGACCAGTTTTAAAGTAAAATGAGTGAAATATGAAATAGAGAAAAGTACAGTGATAATCCGTTTAATTTACCCTTAAAATTATTTTGCCAACTTTATCTATTTATTTAATTTATAACTAAAAACCTAGGGTAAATTACACGTTTAGAATCTAAATGATCACTTTTGGTACATTTTAGTACCTAAGCTTTGATTTTTTTCAAAATCAAACCTAAAGTTTAATTTTTGTTTCATTTTATTACCTTTATTCAAAATTTATCGTTAATTTTTGAAGAAAAAAATAAAAGTTTGAGTAATAAAACAAACCAAAATTAATAGTTTATGTATTAACCATGTTAAGTTTTTGACGGAAGATTACTAAAATAAAATAAAAATAAATTTTAGGTATTATTTAAAAAATAAAAATTTAGGTACTAAAATAAATCAAAACTAATATTTTAAGTATTAAATGTAAAGTTTTTTCAAAAATAATTTATTTATTCAGTCATCCAATTATTTTTTAAAATCATATTTAATGTTACATTTTAATTTTATTTTAGTATGTTGTTATAAAATTAACGATAATATTAATAGATCACTATAAAGTAATACTACATTATTCTAAAAAAAATAATATCAAACATTTTCATTCATTTTATTAACAACTAATAATTAAAATATAATGTTGAATATAATTTTAAAATAATAATTAAATAATTAAAATGAAATCTTAAAAATAGATGGATGGATAAATCAGAAAAATTAACACGTGCGTAGCAATCTATCTCATTGATTGATATGGGAGTACTGCCAACTCAAATAAGGCAGCGTTTGTCTGTAAGTTTAATTTTATCTCTTTGTTGACCTCCAAAGAAAGTCTCTCTCTTTTATTTTTTGAATCATCCTACCACAACTACAGAGCTTTAGCTTCATCTTTATGGTTGTCCCGCTCTCACTTGCTTGAGCAAATACTGCATTAACCATGTCTACCAGTCCAGATAAACCGATTCTCTCACCCATTCAAGATATAATCGATCGCATTTCCAAGTTGTGTGAGCTTACCAACAAATATGCAACCAAGGCCAATCCACCTCACCAAAACACGGTCGCCACCAACACCGCGACTGAAAATCAGCAAGACGGGTCTACTACTACCAGCCGAGGTGTTAGCCGCGGCGAGGATAGCCAGAGGACTCAAAAAACGGATGGCAGCAACAAGGGGAAAGATGGTGGGGGATACAGTAAGACGGAAGCGCTACACGAGCTGGGAAAACTATACAAAGAACTTGATTATATGTACAGATCGTTCCAGAAACTCGAGAAGTTCGAAAATGATCTAAGCGATCCACTCAAAACTCTTGAAGCCAATGTCAAAGACATCGTGACTGATCTAGACAAAGACGAGTTGCCAAAACAGGTTCCGCACAATCTCCGTGTGTTGAGAAACAACATCACCAGAGTCAAGATCCTGATCCCGTCGCAACATCAGGGCGGCGGCATTAATTCCGAAGGTAATCGGGGTTTGCAGACGACAGTCGTCACCCGAGATGCAGGGGATTTGCCTCACCTATACGGATCAACTCTTTTTGAAGAAAGCTATTTCAAAGAAATCGAGGAAAAATATAAAGCCTTAAAGATGATAGGCTTAGGCTCTGCTTCTTGTGTTTCGCGATTTTCCCAGAAAATGCTGCGATAAAGAAGAGGTTCCTGAGATTTTGGTGGGTTGGAGAAGAATTAATCGGACCCCTAAAGGAAGGAGAAGATGAGAAGGACATTGTAAATGAAACTCTCAACATTTTCGTGGAGAAAGGGCTTATCCAGCCTGTTTTGAAGAAGAGCAGATTAGAGCCCAGAAGCTACAAAATGGACCCGATCGTTCGTTCGTGTTTGAACAGGTTTGCCAAAGATGCACGTTTCTTTGATTATGACCAAGAAGGAAAACCAACCATGGATTTCTCATCTTGCAAAAAAGCATGCATGGTGAGATCTGAAGGAGCCACCGCTCCCTGGTTCTCAGAGTATCTTAAAGAAGAATCGGGGCAGGGAAAGCTACCTGTAGATCTAGTAAAGCTGCAAATGCTGTTCAATTTTCCCGACAGGAACACATTGATGACGGCTAGTAAACGATTTGATAAATTGCAGATATTGTTTAATTTGAGCAAACAATTTCCAGCTTTACCTACGGAGTGGTTTTCCAAGATGACGGAGCTCAAAGTTCTTTACATGGGTAAATGGGAAACCACGGCTCGCCATATTGAGGTGGAAGACATTGATTTCTTAAAAGGATTGAAGAACATGAAGAATCTAAGGCTTCTTAGTCTTCAAGGTATTTCAGGTATCCCAAAGATTCCCAGCACTATTCAGAATCTTGGAAACTTGAGGATCTTAGATCTTAGAGCATGTCACAACCTGGGGAGATTACCAGATAAGATCGGCTCACTGAAGGAACTGACTTACCTGGATTTATCTGAGTGCTACCTGCTTGATTATATGCCCAAGAGGCTGAGTGATTTCAAGGAACTTCAAGTACTCAAAGGTTTTGTGATTGTTGATACCCAAAACTCATGCACTCTCAAAGACTTGTCGAATTTAAAGAATCTGCGAAAACTAAGCATCAATGTCAACACCACGAAATTCAATATTGATGATGAAGAGAGGTCTCTCAATAGATTTCAGAAACTTGAAAAGTTGAGGATAGCGTGGGGATCAAGAGGGATGCCAAACACTAACAGCAGTAAATCAAAATCGGATATCAAGAACCAGCAGGCAGCAGCGAAAGCCTCAACAGGAAAAGAGAACAAGGGAGACGATAAAGGCAGTGAAGCGAATTCAAAGACCACTAAGGTTGAGGGTAACGACGAGCAAAACAGTGGTGTGAGCAGCAACCAAGAGACCAAGAGACCACAGTCGTTTTAAACAGGTGGCCACTGGGGTTTTCGCGGCTACTGTTTTGTGGAGAGTGAAGGAAGAAGAAGAAGATCTTGTAGGACTTGCGAATCTGGTGAAACTAGACCTCCAATGCTTCCCTTACACCGATCCACCTGAATGGCTGGTACCGAAGAAACTGCGGAGGCTGACGAATCTGTCGATCAGAGGTGGGAAACTGAGTTACCTGAAACATGATGACAAGAAGAAGTGGAAGGTGGACACTTTGCATTTGAAGTTCTTGGTGGGTTTTAAGATGAACTGGAAAGAGATGCTGGAAAAATTCCCCAAATTGAAGTATTTGGAGAATGTTAGAAGCCCTAGGATCACACTTTGCCCATGCGATGACAATGGAATCTGGCAAGCTCCTTCCAAATAGACTTCCTTTTGTTTTTCACTTACCAGACAATTGTCTCTCTGCTGTGTGGCATTTCTATTCCACCTCCTTTCTACTTTGTTCAGGGACTTGCATTTTCCTTCTCTGGAAATATTCTGCTCATTATCTTGGTATTTTTCCCGAAAAATCATTGGTGATTGATATATTTATCGATCTAACACCGATCAGATTATACTTCTCGATCTAATACCCGTAGCAGTAAAGTGCTCCCTTAAACCGCGCTATATATTGATTTGGCGTCACGTGGAGTATAGCGCGCCCCTGTACCGCGTTATACGTTGACTGGGTTACACGTGGGGTATAGCACGCCCCCTGCTCCGCGCTATACGTCACGTAGGGGTATAGAGCGGATCAGGGGCCGTGCTATACGCCGTACCAAAATTATATTTATCGCGGTCTCTGGTCCACGCTATATAATAATTACATATAACGCGGTGCAGGTACCGCGCCTTATATGTTTATAAATACACTCATCCGGTTCTCGCATCTCTCATCTCAACTTATAAATTAATACAATAATTCCGTCAACGAGTAAAAATTCTGACAATTTTCTCATATTTGATTTAGAAGTTCGTTTAATTTTTCGTTATAAGGTAATTTTGTTATAATTTTTTAATTATACTTATTGTTTATTATCATTATTTGAAAAAATATTATACTAATTATTTTCAATTAATTTTATGTTTATAAAATTGAAAAGCGGGAGCATACGTCAAAATAGTTTTGTGGTGCAGGTAATAATATAAAATTATATTATTTAAATTATTTACGTTGATATGTAAAAAATTTATTGTGTTATATTTTCGTTCATATATAATTTATTTAATCATGTTTGTTTCAGTTATTTTTTTAGCAGATATAATATTGCCGCACTTTTAAACTCAAAGAATGACACGACTTTCAGCTATTGTTTATTATGATGGTGAAATTCGAGAAGATGAAACCGTCGTTGTTTTCGTATCAAATGAGCGTGTTAAAATATCATTCAGGAGAAACATAACTCTTGAGGAGCTGATAACGAAGATTTCGAAGAAGATTTATGGTGGAAGTAGTAGAAGAATGTCGTCGTTGCAGTACAGATTTCCAACATCATTGTTGTCATTAACTTATACAGTGTTCGAACTTTCGAACAATGATGGTGTTCAAATGATGGTTGAAGCTCAAAGTAATTATTCAGACACCGCTATTGAGATGTATGCACATTTTGTTCAAGTGCGTGCTGTTCAGGGTCAATCTTTAAGCTCACACTATGGGCTGGCTGAACAAGTTGACAGCTCGACTACAATAATGTGTAATGATTTTAATGTCATAATGGGGAGACATTCATCCGCAACTCCTTACGATATGTACCGAGGTGGGTCCACGAACAATCTGTATGGCAACACCGCGTCCAGTTCAAGGGGAAGGCATTCATCTGCAAATTTCTTTGATCATATGGAGATGTCATCGACGCAACCATCTGTGCAGTTTCCATTTGACACGATGGCTTCAAGCTCCAGGGGGAGGCATTCGACTGCGAGCTTTTTCGATCTCAATGTCGATATGCCATCCAGTTCAAGGGGAAGGCGTGCAAGTAGTAGGTTCTTCGACCTAAATGTGGAGAGCATGGAGGAACCATAATCTCCACCAGAAGAACCGCTTCGTGAGCCTGGTACGGATGGTGCTGATACTAGACTATTCATTCACCCAGAATCATCGCAATTCAACTCTGATGATGATGAAGTTCCAGGAAATGTGGCACAAACTGACCCTCATGCACACATGTATGGAGCTGATTATGGGTCCAATGTGGCAACCACTCTTTGTCCAACATAAGTATTGTCTCCGACACATTGCTGCGAACTATCATGGAAGGTACAAGAAGAATGATGAGCGTCAATTAATTGTGCGCATGGGTAAGTGAAAGCAAGTTAGTAAGTTATACATTTTTTGATCATTTTAATTTTGCAAAGAAAGCAAGATAGTAAGTTATACATTTTTTGATCAGGTTTCGAATTACTTTCTCGAACGTTTGAATCAATGCTTCAAGATTTACGGGCGAAGAACGAGGAAGGATACGATTACATCAGCCTCATCGATAAAGAAATGTGGACGAACGCATATGATGGCGGATATCGATACGGACACATGACGACCAACGTGGCTGAGGCAATCAATTCAACCTTAAAGGGTGCACGTCACTTACCTGTAACGACTTTGGTAAAAACTACATATTTTCGTTTGGGGGCGCTTTTTGTGAAGCTCGGGGGACAAGCTCAAACTTGGATGCAAGGCGGTCATGTCTATCACCCTAGATTAGTTGCAGATCTATAGAAAAAAATTGCTGCATCAAATGGAATGTCTGTAACAAGCTTCTCTAGAAGGCATGAAATGTTTCGTGTCACAGAGTTTCGACGTCGTAGAAAGGTCTGCCATCGTGCATCCTCGGGAAGTAGAAACGGTTTCCCGTTACTGTTGAACCACTCATAATAATGCTCAGCATACATCAAGAAGTCAGTAAAAATGGGCTCTTTACGTGGAAGGCGTCGATGTCGATCCTCCCACAACACGACCCACTCATGATGCCTCACCAGCCAATCTGTATATGTCTTACCGCGTCTATCTAAGCTATGCAACTCGTCCATATTGCGAGGTGCTTCCGGAATTGGTTGAAAACAACCAAACTACCGGAGCACGCGATCAGTGGAGTGCCACTCGACGGTCGCATAACAGATCAGAGGGACCATCGCCATTCAAACATCTGATGGACCCCTCAACTCAGGTGGGATCACTACCCTCACATCATCAGTAGATTTGTTATGCCCTCACATCCAAACATCGCCAACCTGTGTGCCAGCCTTCTGATCAATTAGCACCCTAATTTTTTCTAAATCATCAGGTAGCTCCTGATGATTTTTCCTATCAGTAGACCACCTATTCAAGGAAAAAAAATTTGTTATGCGTTGTATAAAATTATTAATATACAAAATCATTTTTATAATTACCTCAGAAGTAGTGGAAATACGAATGTGTTCTTCACAACGGGACATAAAAAGGGCAATCGATACCATGCCCAAGACTGCAGCAGCAGGAGACATCCGCCGATAGCATTACGCCTATAGTCAGTGGCTCCACACATCTCTCTGTACAGCAAAGCCAAAATTATCGAGCCCCAACTGAATGATCCGGCGAGACGAAAGTCGCTAAGATGTCGCAACCACATGCAGTGAACTAGGTTGCGCGATTTGTCCGGCATCAACAACCCTCCTATCAGCTGCAGTATGCATGCCCGTGCATACATCTTAACCTCATCCTCAGAGGCGTCTGCTCTCAACTCTCGAAAATTGGCATCTAACCAATTTAACGGTATCCTACCTCCGATAAAATTTTCCGGGACACGTCCTAGACTATCCCGACATAAAGTAGTCCAAGAACCGGAAGCTATCCCCGATATTACATCTCCATCCACCGGAAGCCCCAGGTGCATAGAAACATCCTCAAGCGTGATCGTGCACTCTCCGCACGGAAGATGGAATGTGTGGGTCTCCGGCCTCCACCGCTCTACTAATGCAAAAATCGGGTCTGGCTCTATCTTACAGTGACCATGATATCTACCTATGTAATCGAATCCAGCCTCTACTAAATACGGCAAGACACGCTGGGTATCACTAACTTAATATTCCTAATAAAAGGATCTAATACACGGTCCTTCTCCTAAAAATAAATAATTACAAATTCTTAATCTAATAATCATGCATTAAATAAATCAACTAATTATTACTAATAATTTAAATTAAATTAAAACGTTAAACTGTTACCGTATCAGCAAAGTGTCGAGATATTTAATTCTTAATCTAATAATCATGCATTAAATAAATCAACTAATTATTACTAATAATTTAAATTAAATTAAAACGTTAAAATGTTATCGTATCAGCAAAGTGTAGAGATATATGATTTTCATCCGAGCGAAGTAGACTACCTTCTATTATATATCTATAATAGAATTATATTAGTAAAATATTAAATAAAGTAAAATACTTAAATAAATTAAATACATAATAGTAAAAATATTATAAAATATACCTTAAAAAGATAGAGTATTTGAGAGAAATTTAGAGAATTTGAGAGAATTTGGTGTGATAAAAATGATTGAGGATGAGAGTATTTATAGGGAGGATTGGGATGTGGAGAGGCGGGTATTTAGGGGTATAGCGCGCCCCCTGCATCGCGCTATACCCCACGTGTCAGATACCCAGGTATAGCGCGAATCAGGGGGCGCGCTATACTCACATGGCGCCAAATCATTGTATATCACGAGGCAGGGGAGCGCTATACCCACGTGACGCCAAATCAGCGTATAGCGCGGTTCAGGACGCGCGTTTTACTGCTACGGGTGTTAGATCGGAGAATATAATCTTACTGATGTTAGATCGGAGAATATAATCTGACTGATGTTAGATCGGTAAATATACCGATCACTGGTGATTTATCGGGAAAAACGTCCATTATCTTTATACATATTTAATAAAAATTAAGTCTTATTATTATTTTTAAAAATTCAATTTCGATTAATTTTATTTTTTGTGCTATTTTGATGGGTCCTTTTAGAGCTAAAATAGAAAATTGCAAATCCAACCCATACATTTGGGCCATTCACGTAGGACTGGCAGGGTCCATCCACTGCCTTTTTATCTCGTAATTCCCCCCGAATACTCAACTATTCTTTATCTTATTTTTTTGGCTTAATATAAAAATAATTATTTAAATTCACTAAATAATCTTTTTGTTAAAATAGTTTTCTAATGTTTTATTCATTACACTTTTATATGTTCATTATTAGAAAAATAACAAGTGTCATTTTTAGTTTCTTTTATAAAAAAATTTAAATAATATTTTATTTAAAAATATAAACATGACATATGTCACTTAAGGGTTGTTTTAACTGTTGTCACATAAAAGTGTAATAGAGAAAACATTAGACACTTATCTTGAATGAAAAAAATTTTAGACACCAAAAGTTAATTTTAAGTTAATTTAATTTTTAATTATACT